ATAAATATCTCATATAGTGTATATAAAAATATATATATATATTTTCAACTGTGCTTCAGCACCAAACACTGAAGCATAATGATGCAGTGTGTAAAGCCTTCTTAGCAGGGAAGTAATCCTATTATGTTATTAGAAATATATACACACCATACATCAAAATTGTGACAATGAGAAAGTATTCCTGCACTTCTAGTTAAAGTCACACTAAGATTGGAAAAGAAAAAAAGAAGGGCATCCATCCAACTTTAGTCATCTAACTAACTTAGCCGAGCCTGTAGTCTAAGGAAGGATACTGTCTCCTTCAAGGGCTGATTTGGAGCACCTTAATTGAGTTTCTGTTCTGAACTGCCTGATGGAGAGGTCTCTCGCTCCACCCCCCAGCTCCCCAATTACCAATAGAGAGGGGGGCCTAGGGAAACAGCTGAGGCTTATCCCTTTAATATGCTAAGTGTTCTTTTAAGTCTAGCAGTTGACTTCTGCAGAAACAACTCTGGTAGTTAAAGTTCAGATATCAGTAATTTTTTTCAGGTGAAGTCTGGTCTGCAATTACACTGGAATCAAATACAAGTCAGTTAGTTACCTTTTCTCCGCCCTCTCCCCCCCGCCCCCCAAGAAACTTCTGATATAAAATCAAAGTGAGAACACCTTCTTGAAAAGCCTGTTTATCATTCAAAACTAAAGAAATCTGGGAAAGTCTCAACAAATCTTCCACTAAAAATTCAGCAATCTTAATTCTTTCAAATTCAGCATTGCACAAATCCTGCTATCGAAACTGGAGGCAAAGTTCCTTACTTTATATGCATACACAAATTTCAGAATATGGTCTTATGTGTGCTGATTAATGTTTACAGAATTTATACATTCTGCAAAAAGAAAATGCTTTTTTTACTAGCACTGCGTTAAAGATTTCAAGATGTACTTACAATAAAAGACTAATCCCTTTTGTTACCAAGTAATTATTTTAGCCATATTTAGACTAAAAAGACTGTAATTTATAGTATGAGCTTTCATGATTCTAAATAGGCTATCTCACCTACTACTGATGAAACAAAATGACTTTAAATCTTCTTTAGACATGTTGTGGTTAATGGCAAGGAGTGACCAACAAAAGTAGACAAGTAGTAGAGAAGAATTCTATCCTCCTATCCTGCTAGGATAGGCCTTACAGAGGATGTACTAGGCAACGTTGGCAGAATAGAAGGGACATTTGTTTTATTTAAGAACAGTAGAAAACATACGGTATCAAAACATTTATAGCAAATATAAGTAAACAACCAGACTACTGAGAAACAGAATTGTATAAATTGTTTTGATTGTGAGCAAATGCAAAAGCACTTCGGACAGTATAAAGACAAACGGAAAAAGAAGTATCGCTCTTTTTAATCCAACCAAACAGTGAAAAGACAGACTTTTTAGTGTGAAAAGACAGACATTTTTCAGATAATGCTTTTAAAAACTGGAAATTGATGAGTGAGAAGAAAAAACCAAACACACAGAGATGTCAGTTTACGTTTTCAAATTGTACTTACCTTTTCCCTCTAATTTTAGTGCTATTGTCAGTTCCAGCAGTACTGAGAAAAGAGAATACTGTTCAAACGGAGAACATCTCTGGACCTGAAGCAGAATTTTCAAATGCATCTAACACCTTTAAGAAATTTAGATTATTAAAACTTTGAGCAGTGTATTAAGGCAGTTCTCATTAGCATGCTTCCCCAGTTTCAATTTTCATATGATTTTAGCTGGTGATGCTTTCTAACCAATAAAGAGTTAATATTCTTAGTTGTTTGAAAGGTGATTTGCAACATTTCAGATGGTATTATGCATTGTTTTCTGTCTTTTGATATATTAATCACAACTGTAGCCCCTTCTGTTGCAAATGTTTGATTTTAAAATTGTCACTTGTCAGCCAGTCCAATAGGCTATTTCAGAACCAATACAGTTTATGCATGGGAAGTTTGATGTTGAAACAATATTTATTTACATTCTCAGAGTGAGACCGTTTAATATATTCATGCTGCTATAAAAGACATGCTACAAAGCCTAATCGTATTTTGTGTATATACTATGTGTACAGAGAATCTTGCTTGTATTAAAATAAAAGAGAAATGAGGTTCTAAGTATCAATTTATAAACAGTTCTTTGTAAAATGTTACAGTGTTTCATGAAGCACTATTTAATGAAACATTAACTATTGGTAAACCTCCATAGAAACTACCTTTTCCAAAATTCACAATAATAGTTCCCATCTATTTTATTTATGTTTGCATTTCATAAAGTAACTTACTTCCCCTCCCAGAGAAACCCTGTTCCTACGCTTGCTGCACTAGATAAGCAACTCGCATGGGGAAAGATAGAACAGACAGCGGTATGAGTGAACATACTTGTCATTCATGCGCTGACCTGCTGTAAATACAAGAGCAAATGGAGGCTTAAAAACGATACTACCCTTCCCCCAGCCATGACTTTCTTTCTGCAACCTGTGGCTCTTTCCCAGCACAACAGCTGGCAGATTTTATTGCTGCCATAGCAACCCTGCCGTCAGCCCGTTGGCTTGGCAACATTGCAGCAGTAAGAAACGCACTGCACATCTGAACTGTTCTTAGACTCACAGAGGTATTTTTTCAGGTTGCATTCCTAAATGCTTATTTACTGTTCGATTTAATAAATTTTGCGATAAAAAATCCTATACAGTCCTTATTTGCCAGTGAAATCAGATCATCTTCCCCGGAATCTTGCAAAGAATTAATATCCATTCCTTGCAATGGCACAGCAGATGGATCAAATCTCTGCAGCAGCTTCAACTGATCAAGCGACAGTCCAGCTCCCCTCATGCCTTCTCCTCCAATGTGAGGCTCCTTTTTAAGTAACAAAGAAAAGCAAATTACTGCATCACTAAAGTTCTTAAGTGCCCTAAATGTATTCCGCTGAGTATATGCAGAGCTGCCTAACTGTTAACGTGGACAAGCTAGGTTTGTATCATTCACACCAGGGGGGGATTTAGAAGTAATGTGGCCCTTCTTTTCTTGCCTTCATCTGGCCAATATGTATACAAGCATATATACAAGGTCCAAAGTACTTTGAGGAGGTGGTGGGGCACCTAATCCAGTAGTTCAGAGCACTTCTTGAGGACAGGTACACAGGTCTAACTCAATTCATTACTCAAAGGACTGAAACATCACAAGAAAGCTGTTACCACCTGACAACAGGAAGGTCTAAAGGTTTTAGGTTGCCACTTCTAAATCATGCAGCGCTTCTGTGTACTGACTAATAGCTATGAGTTACGTCAAAAATAGTGATTCCTTAGCCAGTTACTAACATACTGATTATGTTAGTATGTGATATGTGATTCTTCACATTAAAAACTTCAACTGGAGAGACTGAAAGCCCCAGTCCAGAATACTTTACTGCCTGAAGAGGCATCATTTTGGAAGGTGATGCAGCAGAAAAATCTGAGCTTCAGATTTTCTATGTCACGTAATTAGACTAACACGTAAGTGGGACTACTGTTACATGTGTATGTATATGAGGCAGAGAAAGAAAGAAAGGAACAGCTTAGGTATCTGAATTCAGGAGATGGCATTTGGCATCAAAATCCTGGAGACGAGAAGGGCTTAAAATCACAGCCCTTTTCTCAGCATTTCTTGTGAGTAGCCTTGACTGCTTTTTATTTAATAGACTGATTCCTGGGAAAAAATCTCTTAGGTGGATTGTTCTTTCAATGCATTCAGTAAGGAGATAGAACAAAATGTGCAAAAGCTGGCAATGCAATATCAAAAATAGATCTCCTTTGTAAATCTAGTCTAGTGTAGTCTATAATGCAGCCCACAACAGAGTATTTTTTGAGCCATCACACTTTGCTAACACATGAGCTCACCCAGTCAGCACATGATGTGAGTTAGTTGCTTAACCACATACTGTGTGCTGTAAAGCTGGGCAGCCAAGAGGTTGCAGCCCGATTCTTCTCTTCCTTTCCCTCAGCAGGATTTCAGTGCTTTCCAGGTAAGAGACAAAAAGAGGTGTCCATTGCAAATTGAGAAAAAATAACATACAAAGGGAGACGGGGTAGTGACTTGAAGTAATGTAATAGAAGGATGGAAAGGTAAAAGTCTAGGGAAAACAGTATTACACAGGGTCAAGCGACTTGCTCAAAGACAGACCAATTTTTTCCTCTACCTTTTCCTTTTTCCTTCCAGTTAAGTTACTGCATTTAAGCTGATATACAGTACCTCCTGTGTAAACCCCTAAGAGGAAGTAAGTCTGCACAGACAAAGGATCAGCTGCCATGCAGTAACCTCCTCCTACGAGATCAACGCCTATGCCTCCATCTCCTGTTTTTTCCTTACCCAGCATGATTCCAGGATCTGTTGCCAAACTGAGAAAGTGGGAGACGGTGGACTGGGTATATAAGGAGGTGTCCATTGAGAGACTAAAGAATATGGGAAATAATACATAAAGGAACATGAGGTAAGTCGATCCTAGACTCCAGTTTCCTGTTCATTGGAAAAGATCACCTTAGTTTACACTACTGGGGAACTGGTTATAAGATACTATAAACTATCTGTGGGTAAACAATTCAGTGTCATCTCATTTAAAATATACTATACATAAAAGCTTCATTTTTACAGCTATGGCATCTGTGTGTGAAAACCAGTACTTTATTCAAGACTGGTATTACTGGTGAAAGTCTATTAAACCAGAATTAATCTTGCATTTGAGTTAACAGGGCTTGTGTTTTGCTTTGTCATTCTATCGAGGACAATTTTTATGCTATTAGGTAAAATGTATAATCTCAGCTGAAACAGCTGGAACTGAAAAATTCCTAGTAAATGGATGGTGAGAAAGCAGGCAGAAGAATCCTGACATACAAATCTTTTAAGAAAAGCTTCAGTTCTGTTAAATCTTTACCAGCCTTCATATAATTTCTCATTGTACACCTATTGTATATCTTTTTTTAATTTCAGTTAAAAGATGCACCTAAACTTCTTAAGACAGATACAAGTCATCACAGAATGTATAAGTAAGCTAAACAGGTATCAGAGTTAGACTTTCCTCAAAGCCATGATGATAAACAACTAACCCACCCAACTCATCACATCAACAAAGAGGAAGAGAGACGCATATGGTCTGATGATAAACTCTCTCAAGGTACTAATAAAGGTAACAGATATTTTTGAAATGTATGCGGTATAGATAAAAAATTCTAGTATCTCCCTATATATTACCTCCTCCCAGACATCTTAATGGTAGACACTGACTCCAAAAAAGACAAAGTACATTCTTGGGACACTGTGCCCGAAATAAATTTGTTCCCTCATTCCTTTACATAACGCAAAAATAGCTCCCATGCATATAAAATCCTCCTTCCTCAAAACACAAGGTTCTTTCCATTTATCTCCCATCCTTTATGCAAGTCTTCACTACTTCAGTGGCATTAATAAAAAATTTTTCACTTCTCCTGTGAATGTGCAGAAAAAGAGAATAAAATCTATGCATTAAAGAACAATTGCAAGAGAAATGTTAACCTGTCTGAACTATCTTTTGTCCTGTTGTGTTTTAAATGACTGTTGTACAAATGAAAACAACCACAGTACACAGTGGGAAACTACTTAACGATCCCTAAATGAAGCTTAATTAAACATGAAAATAGATTTAAAAGAGCCTTAGAAGTCCTTGTGTTATTTCTATCCACAGCAGTTAAAATTGTCTGCAGTGAAAAAGAGATTTATTGATAGTAAATATAGTGTGTAACTTTACAGTGCCAAAGCAAGCTCACTGGATTGTATGAAGTACCCTGAAAATACTATTACCTGTGGCTGAAGCTGGAGGCATGGGAAAGTTTTCAGAGCCCAAGCAACTTGCTCCTCATTTTCAGAGAGTGTAATTGTACATGTGCTATATACTAAAACACCTCCTGGCTTCAGCAATTTCACTGCCTGCAGGGAGAAATAAACAACAGTTCAGCTTATTTTTAAATGCAAAAACTTTCATATTAAGAAACATTAACCAAGAAATCATTAAGCTATAATATTAAAACTTAGCACTTAGAAAAATTTGAGTTTAATTAAGATAGGCATTAGGATACTAATTCTTCTCAGAGAATACAGTAAAGGATCCCATGGATTAGAAAGATTCTTCTTTCCAAATCAGCATTATAGCTCATGCAGTTTATTAATGCCATTGAGATGATTCACCTTGTAAGATTTGTTATTTGTACAGCTCTGCATATCCCAGACAGATCAGTTCTGTTTTCATCACCTGCTGCCAACCATGGATACACAATATTTTTATCAGTGATATTAGATGTCAACTATTTCCACATACTTAGCACGGAAGCTATAGCTATGCTGCTTTTCAAGCTGTGGTTCACTTTGAATACGTATAATTCAGATTTAGACAAGTTTCATGAAATCTTATCTTTCAGCATCAGCCCAAGCACACTCCTACCAGCATGAAAACTTGTAATATGGCCTCCCGGCTTTGTACTCCTTCCCATATCCCATACAGCACCTCACAGCACCACTGCATGGTAGTTCTATGCAATGAACTTACTTACAAGAGTCTGTACTGCTGCAGAGAAAACACTTTAACCTGCTCTGTGACTTAAACCCTTGCGATTATTATAAATTAAAACTGATGAAACTGAAGGAATAAAAAACACATACAAAGGTTTTTATTTACTATGGCTTACATATACCTTTCCCATGCTCCAATGAATTGACTTCACCTAGTAACAGATATGGTGCAGCTGAGGGGTTAACTGAAGCCTAACACAATCTTCTGTACTTAACTGCTGAAAAGGTAGGGAAAATGAGGCACCATTTTTCGGTATGAAGTTTTACGCTGCAAAAGCATTTATGTTCAATTTAGCTTATCTAACCAATGATTAATACATACCACAGTGAAAAGCTTGCGCTGTAGTGGCTGGTAAGAAGTCACTTCCTTTAAAGTTGAGGAATAAGCCATGTTTGGTCTCTGTCCCATCCCACTACATGGAGCATCAAGAAGAATTCGATCAAATGACTCTGGTAAGAATGGAGGTCCTTCTGTAAAAAGCAGTTAGTAATGTAAAATGTGGCTGTTTCTTTCCTTGAGACTTCACCATAGATAAGGGCAAGCTGTTACTGCTTCCTTGACATAAAACATTTAGGTTCTATAGATAGTGTCTGCAAAAGTAATCTCAGCTACAGACAAGTCTCAGCACTACTGGTGGTAGATTTCATCTGCCAGAAAACTGAAGAGTTTTAGTTCTGTGAGATCAAACAATACATGATGCCTTTAGGCAATAATATTTTTTTAACCTTAATTTAATAATTTGAAAGTAAAATGTAAAAGTAATCAAACAAAAATGTTGCAATACGATTGGTCAGAGGTGCTGGGTACAGAGTTGTACATATAGGCTGTAATGAACCACAGTCAGCTCGTAACTGAACCAAGTGTGCAAATCTTTACTGAGAGAAGCCTGTAGTTAACTGTTAAGACTGCCTTAAATAATAATAATTGGACTGTCTATATAATAACTATTTCTTGCGATGCTAACTGAACTGAACCAAGTGTGCAAATCTTTACTGAGAGAAGCCTGTAGTTAACTGTTAAGACTGCATAATAATAAAGTAATCAAACAAAAATGTTGCAATACGATTGGTCAGAGGTGCTGGGTACAGAGTTGTACATATAGGCTGTAATGAACCACAGTCAGCTCGTAACTGAACCAAGTGTGCAAATCTTTACTGAGAGAAGCCTGTAGTTAACTGTTAAGACTGCCTTAAATAATAATAATTGGACTGTCTATATAATAACTATTTCTTGCGATGCATATATATCTGGAGAAAATAAAGCACTTCATAATAACATGAAATATCACAAGTTCTAATGCGTGACACGTGCTGTCTCCACAGCAGAACAATTCAGTAAACAAGGATTGTGAAGACAAGAACAATTTCTGAATATTACCTGGATAGATAAGGGAATATGTAACTTCTATGTGCAGAGCCTATCTTTTAATCTGAATCCCACTGGCTTAACAGCCCAAAAGTTTCTATCGCCTTAGTGCTAGAGATACTCTTCAGCTCAGCATCACCAAGACAAAAGTGGCTCCATATGTGTATCTGTGAGTAACCAATGAGGAAGAGAGCCTTTTCTCCTTCTGTTGCTCAAATATTCAAGTTAGGTCACAAGTGAAAACAAGCAAGTGACTTCATACCACTGCTACCTAGCTTGTTCCAGCACTACAAAACGAGTCTTATCTGATTTATCTACCTCTGATCCATTGCTACAACATTCAAAATATGTCTTACTTGCAGGGATGTACAGAAAAACCTTCATGATCTTTCAGTATTACAGCTAGCTCTTATTCATCTGTGTAAGTGCTGCATACCACCTGCAATATTTTATGTCTATTGAAAGACTATTAAGAAAGTACCTTTATTCCTCCAAAGCAGGAATAACTGCAAGGCATAGGGACAAGGAAGGTGAATTATGCAACCTGATTCCTACTTAGGCTAACCAGTGACTGGGATAAAATAGAGTGAGAAAGAACAGCATACTTTGCACAACAAACTAAAAATAATCAAGACAGCAGATACCGTTTAAATCGTTCCATCATGGGAACAGAACCAGTATCATGAATACAGCACTTCAGAAAAGCAAATGAAATGAACTTAAAATAATACACTGTGCTTCTATAGAACTTTCCCCTGAACAGCTGAACAAACATCAATGAACTAAACCTTGCAGCACTCCTGGGAGTTAGGTATTAATAACCCCATTTTACAGATGATGATTCTGAGGCAGAAAAGCCAAGCAATTCTGCAAAAATAATTTTTTTCTCAGACTAAGTCAAACATTTCAGAATATAGGGTTAAACGTTACCATGAAAGAAGAAGCTTTAAGGCTTCTTCAGTCTTTGATATTATCTGGGAAAGGAATGCATTTCCTTTGAGCATATTAGGTTGTGATAAGGACAGATAGTTTGAGTTTTGTATTTGCTTCATGGAGAAGATGATAATCACAAAAGAGTAGAAAATAAAAGAGCATTGACAGTGCTGAAGCAACTTAGGTATCTGCCAAGATTTCACAGACTTGCAGACCTGTGGCATGTTTAATACTACTAGTGCAAAACTGATTACTATTTTCTTCTAAAAGCTACTACTACCCAAGTTGTTTACTTTACCTTGTTCATCCTCTCTCTTCTCAACTGAAAGTGCCTTTGTTCCATCATAGCGAAAGGCCTTAATACAATTCAGCTGTAGCAATTCAGCATTCTGCTTAATTTTTTTGACCTTGTTAGCTATCTTGTCCATGGCTATTACTTCACCCTGAAAAAAACCCCGAAGTTTTTATCAAAAGCATAGAAATTAAATGGATGTGCAGTTCCTGATTTCACACCCCCCGCCCATGAGCAGTGTAATGAATGAAGCTTAGTTTTCCCTACAGAATTTTGTTATTCTTAAATCCACACTCCAGTAGTCCTTGTTCGCCCATATTTTCTGTGATACCCACATTAGGCTAGACAGTAGTCTGAAGCTGTGTGCATTCTGCTTAGCACTAGCTGCTTGGCACAGCCACTCCCTAAGGGACCCTATAATGTCTGACTTCTGCCAAGTGGGTTTTATGTTTGTTTCTTTTTGTTTGTTTTGAACTGTTTTACTGGGCACTAAGTTAGGTAAAAATGTAATCATCTGAAAGAGGGTAGAAGTCTCAAATACATGGTAAAACAGGTCATCAGGTTTTAAATTTGCATGGAGATGGTAGGAAACATGATCACGAACAGCTCAGTCCTGAGGAAATGAGGCCCACAGCCATGCCTCTGGCTTGCTCAGACTCATAACATACCATTATACTTGCAGTAGTTGTCACTCAAGTTACTTTGGGAAATACTGTAAATACTAGAATAAATTTAGACATGGGGGAGGGGAATCACAATTATACAGTATTCCTTTTATGTAAGAATAAGAGTTCTCTTTTCCTCTCCCAAGATAAATCAAAACAGACACACACCACTATCTGCTAGATGAAATCTGTAAACACAAAGGAAAGTAAACAGTAGCATCAGTAAAACCCAGAACAGTAGTACTATCTTCAAAAAAACCCCAAAGACCAAAACCCTCTACTAGACTTGCTACAGCAGATAGAACCTGCTGAGAAAACATGACAACTTCTTCCTACTTGGTGATGGCTCTCTAGAGGCTTATGGAAGGGTAACACAACTAAGATAGTGTAAAAAAACCCCAAACCTTCAGTAAAGATAAGCTGTTGACTGTGCATCATGTTAGCCAATATGTAGGTCTAGGACTAAGAAGTAAAAAAGGACTTCTGTTGTGTCAATGGTGTCCAGTCTTCAGCTACTGTGAGCCAAATCACCTCTTACAGGAGCACTCAATGACCATGTGCCACTGCTTCTCCCCTATCACCATTCAACCTATTGCGCATGCACACTAACAACTGATTGTGCTTGAAAGTTAGGTCTGTCGCTAAAACAAGTGGATTTGCTGCACATGGGCTGTACTGTGGGTATAAAGAGGTAAGTCCTTCTCCTGAGAGACTCTCAGAAAAAAGAACAAGCTGGAAGACAACAGTTCTTCCCCATCTGGCCCATGCCAGCCACTGCCAGAACAACTTCCTTAAAGACATCTTGAAAAAATGGTGGTCTGGACTGGGATCCAGATAATAATAAATTCTCAAGCTTTAACTATTCCCAATTCCTATTTAAAAGCTCTTAACAATACAGAGTAATTTTACATTTCGATTACCTCATCTAGAAACAATATACTAATTTTTACAATTAAATCACAAAAAAATATAAGATTGACTCAAATATTCTGAAATGTTAATGATTTAATATACTGTCTATGGAAATCTAGTATGGAAAATCTGTGAATGGAACTTAAGAACCAAAAAGCAGTGCAAATTTACTGATGTATTTCTTCCGTATCTTAAAATTATATACTCAGAAAAGGAAACCCAATTCAGATAAATTTCAACATCTATATTCTTAATCTTTACCGATTCAGCTACAGGTAAGCACGATCAAAATACCTAAAATGACTAAGGAAAAAAACAGTATGCAAAATTATACAATATGTACACACACAGATGGAAAAAATATAGATGTAAATGAATGCATGACAGAAATATATGCTTTTACAGACTTCCTTTATTTATCACACTGAAATTCTTTACTGGAAGCTTTACAAATCTATCTAATAAATGCCTAATGACTGTCTAATGCATGTTTAATGCATGTTTGCAAACTTTCCATACTGAGGGAAGAAACACTTCAATAAGCAAACCGTCACAGAACTGAATACGTCTTTTCTAAATACATTCACATCATTACCCACTGTACCTTCCCATTAATGCACAGACAACCATTGAAATACTGCATAATGTAACTGCAAGATTTCTAAATAATCTGATATATTCTAATAACCCTATTCCAACACAAATAATAATGCCTTACGAAATTTTTAGAGGAAACATTACGCATTTTTCCCCTCTCTGCTAGAAAAGAGTAACCTGCATTTCCATCTTTCATTTTGCATATAGCAATTTAATATATGCAAATTGTTATTCCTATATCCACATTCTTTTTGGCTTGTGTGTTATTTTCCTTTGTCTTTCTCTAAATATTTTTCTTGTTTCTTCTCATATTATTACTTTCTCATGAGATATTTTTGGGTTTGTGACCTTCTACCTTAGAATGACAAATTCAGGCTAGAAAGTCAGTCTAAGATCATATCCGTACTGCATAATTGATAATTTTTACTGAGAAGAAAGTTAATTGGATTAGGAGCTTTTTAATATGTTTTTGTACAGAGTTGTGCATCCTTTTGGCACACAGTAGTAACCCCTGATTTCCACGTAGTCTCAGTTTCATGAATCCAGCATATTCCTGTGTATCTTTGCCTTGCATGTTACGAATTCTTCCATTACAAATAAAACAATAATATTTAAAAAGTGAAATTAAACATATTTCGACAAGTCAATTTGCAGCAAATACGGTTTTAATTTGATATTTGACTATTTGATAAAGATAGTCTGTGCCCATTTCAGTAACTCTGATGTGTAGCAAAATATATTGGTAAGCAGAACATTCAAATATTAATTGTTTGCTGTTGTAAATTATGTCTGCATTCTGACAGCTAAGTGAAGTGAGCTGCGCAAAGGAACAGTGGTCAGACTTTCTTCACCGAGACAGAAAATGCTCAATGACTTCTCTTACCTGGTCATGCATTAATGTTGCAAGATGGGTTGTTTTTCCTCCAGGTGCAGCACACATATCCAAAATTCTCTCTCCTGGTTGAGGTCTTAAAATATGGCTCACAATCACAGAAGGCAAGTTCTATCATAAAAACAAATATGGGAGAATTCAAACCTTATGTCCTGTATCAAGTCCTGTATTAAGGAATGACAAACTTGTTGAAACAAAAATTCATTCAGCAGTGAAGATACCTACGATATTTGCTGTCAATTCCTTAACAGAAAATGAACTATTGGGATTATATGAAAGAGATAGTATAGGTCAGAAGGCTCCAGTGGCTCCTTTTTTATTTAAAGCTATATATGAGTATCTATGACTGAAGTTTAAGCATTCATGACTACGGAGACTACATTGCTAAAAGTAAAAATAAAATAAGCTGATACTATCACAGACACAGAGCAGCTCTGTGTATTACAAATAGTTCATATTGACCTGTTTATTGGAACATTTACTATATGAACATACTGGTATAGTATAGTAACGAACAGTAAGATCAATAGGCAGGAGTTTAAACTTGCTGAATTAAGGTATCAAGAAGCTGAATTGTTCTATTAATTGTATAAACAGAACAGATGTACTGAAGAGAAATAATATGCAATAATTGTGCACGGTATTGCATCTTACACAATGTGGAAATATTCTGAAAGATTCTCTTCTAACTTGGTTCAACACAAAGGCATAAAAACCTTTTAAAGTTGTCTTTACTACGTGTTGTCTTTGGTTAGTACAGTTTCAATTTCCATGCCACAGTGTTCAAAAAAATGAACAATAATTCATCTCACACGTGGCAAATTCAAGTCAAAAAAGCCGGGCTTAAAGGGTTGTGATCAGTGGCACAAAGTCCCGCTGGAGGCCAGTCAACAGTGGTGTACCCCAGGGGTGGACACTGGTGCCAATGTTGTCTAACCTCTTCCTTAGGGAGCTGGATAATAGAACAGAGTGCACCCTAAACAAGTTTACAGAGGATACAAAACTGGAAAGAGTAGTTGATAAACTGGAAGGTTGTGCTGCCGTTCAGAGGGACCTTGACAGGCTGGAGAAATGGAGAAACAGAAGTCTCATGAAGCTCAACAAACGGAAGTGCTAACTCCTGCACCTGGTGCACCCCATGCACCAATACAGGCTGGGACTGACTGGCTGGAAGGCAGCTTTGCAGAGAAGGCCCTGGGGATCCTGGTGGACAAGAAGTTGAGTATGATCTATATTCTCATGTGCACCAGTCTCTTAAATAACCTATCTCTCTAACAATTCTGTTCCTTGAAATCAAGTACTCTGATAAGCTGAATCAGGAAAGAAAAGGCCTCTCCTTTACCGCAGGCCACAAGACAATATATTGCTTGATAAACTACCCTTGCCCACACAGCAAGACAGCATTGATGCTGATTTAAAAATATTAAGATCAATTACAAAGAGAATATTTGCATAAAAATAACTCATCTGCTGGACTGACTCTTCTGACAAAAGAAACAGTGACTAAGACAATTCACTGTAATAAAGGACTTACCTTACTGTCTGAGTGATAGTTATACAAATCAAATGAGGAGATTACTTAGAATTTCAGAGAATATCTCTGAACAAGGGTTTATTTGAGATAAAATTTACATTTACTTTAAAGATTAAAATAACTTTTTTCTTTTTAAGGCTGGACACCTTGATTTTGTTTTAAACCCTGCTTCTAAATCATCATATTTGTATCAAAAAAATGCAATACCACTGTTGGCACACTAACTGTCTTAGAAATCTAATCGAGGTGTTCACCTCATCTTTTTATGTCAGCAAACTGAAATCAAGAATTTTACCTGATCTAAGAAAACTAGAAAGTTCCATGATTTCATCATCCTATGCTTCAACATAGCACAAGTGGCCAATTGTCATTCTGAGTATTGCTTTTAATTAGTTTTATTGTGGGGGAAAAGGAGTGTAGGTATCACAAATATTAAAGATGTGAAAGGAAAAGCTGGCTTGAAATACGTTCTTAAATTTTACAATAAAAACAAAACAAAAATTTGTCATTCTTTGGAACCTGTGCAGTTTTATGGTAAAAGGTAGTGAAAGCTGTGCTACTGTTAAGATTTTTCATGGTTATTTTGTTCAGGTAGATTTTTTTCATTAGGGCTAAAAAGATACGGATATTCTCTTCAACCTAGTATTTGGAGATTTTCCTGATTATCTACAGAAGGATGTACCCTGAAAGAGGCTCAAATTTCAGAGTTCATAGGCAGATTCCAAAAACTAAAAGTTCTGTGCAGAGTACCTGAGCAAAAAGAATTTCTAAGTTTTTAATTGAGTATCTCTTAAGTCACTTTTAAGTCCCTTATCATATCTCAGACGCAGTATGATTAAACCACCTACATGTAGATACTGACTTCATTCTAAACACTTTGTTTTCTTTAAATCCAAAGAGTGAATTAGGTACCATAATATACAACGGATATATAAAGTATTAATATGTGCTTAGAGGATATTCATTATTCTGCAAATAGTACAGACTTTTATTTTTGTAACAAACGTACCTGTAAAAACAAATGACTAGGGAGCACATTGTCAAACGAAAGACTAAGGTAGACTGGCTCTATCATTCTTACACCCATGCCACTGAAAAACATGAAAAAAAGTATTTCAACTACTCAGATTTATAATTTTTAACAGTATTCAATTAAATTCATTATGCTTGCAAATAGAAACTTGAAACAATGATCTTACAAAAATGAAAGCACTTATAAATCAACTAAGAAAGTTACTTTTACAATTTTGTAATCTGATATTCTTTAAAATTATGTCATGAAATTGGGTAAACCATAACAAAAAAAGCACTACATTATAAATTGGAACCATCTGTAAAAATTGCATAAAGCAAATTTATTTTTTTTGTACACAAGAGAAAATGAGATCTAATCCAAGCATTGATAATGTAAAGAAATGCATAAAAAGATTTAAATATGTTAATTTAAATCCATAACTGCCTTTGGCTAGCCAGGTATGCGCTAGGGCACTGGCATATGATTTCCTACTTAGGTCTTCCTCCATTTTTCTAGACTGTCTGAGATTTCAGTCAAATAACTAAAGAAACTCTCTTTCAAAAGCCTTACAGGAACATTGATTTGCCCGCAAAGCAAAGGTTTGAACTTAGGAGCAATCTAAAAGTTTTAAATATGGATGAAGTTCTGACACAGATTTCATTAAGTTAAGACAAATGTACAAGGAAATGGACAACAATAAAAACAAGTAAAAACAATACTGAGCCTGAAAAAATAGATTACTGAAGATAACAAGAATGAGTATTATTTTGCATATGCACTGCACAGTCCAACAAGAAGAAGGCAGGATATGAGAAAGCAAACTTGCAGACACCAGATTTAGTGTTACATACTGCCATTCCATGTCATCAACTCAACAGGTATATCCTACCACTACTTCTACTATATTTAAGCTCTAATAAATCAGAAATCCTCTAACAATGTAATCTTTTTTTACTAGATCTTTTGTAGTTTGTTCTCAGGATGTAAAGTCTCAGTCATTAATTTGATGTCCATGCTCTTCTACATTGCTTTTTATATGTGTTTTAGATGACAGAAGAGGAACAAACCATATGCTTTGGGAACAAAATAGAAAAGCAAGTGATCTTGAAATTGATAACTACCTTGGCAAATGCTATTAATTTTTTTAAGATATCTGACCATATTCTCTGTCCCCTGCCCCACCAAAAAAAGCCCCTACAAATATTTTTAGGAGATGGAGAAATCAACAAGGCTGTACTTCTGTTTCATCTAAATAGGAAAGTGGTACAGAACAATTTACCAAAATGCAATTTTGCCACAGTGAGAATGTTTGTCACTTCTGTTTGTTCTATATTATTGAACTCATATGCTAAACATAAATTCTGAAAAGGCTCCCATTTATTGCCTCCTACGTATCAAGTAAACCAGTATCTGGATACCACTATAAAACTACAAGTTGAGTCTGCTAATACTTACTGTAGTACTTTAATCATAATTGCCATCACATTGCCGCTACCTTAGTTGTGAAGTTACAGAAGACAGCAGGAGGCACAATTCTATTATATTCCCAGAAACTAACGCTTCCCAAAAAATACCGGAAATCCCAACATGAAACACAGGTCTCAGTCAAAGCCATCTTGTGGTTTCACATAGGGTACAGAACATTTCAAAATGTCTTCCCTTCTTCTTCCTTCCCTTTGCAAAGTTGTAGCTGTAGATTGCACTTACTATGGACTTACTTCAAGGGGCCACTTGAACTAAAGATTTCACTGCGACTCAGTTCTGAAATCCCATTTCCAAGAAAAACTTTGACTCCTTCAAATTCTTTGGCTCCTCTTTTACATTTCCCTTCAATATCTGAATACACTGAGACCAGATCTCCAGCTTTCATAACTGCGCAAAGAAGAACAGAAATTTTGAGATTAATATAACTTTTTAGCAGGGCCTGTTGCAAGAGGACAGGGGGCAATGGCTTCAAACTAAAGGGGGGTAGATTTAGACTAGATCGAAGGAAGAAATTGTTTACGCTGAGGGTGGTGAAACACTGGCACAGGTTGCCCAGATTGGTGGGGGATGCCCCACCCCTGGAACCATTCCAGGCCAGGTTGGACGGGGCTCTGAGCAACCTGATCTAGTTGAAGATGTCCCTGCCCACGGCAGGGAGGTTGGACTAGATGACCTTTAGAGGTCCCTTCCAACCTGAACTATTCTATGATTCTATATTATACTTGACAAGACAGTAGTGACCAAATAATTTAGGATTTTCTGCAGACTACTTACTTCAACTCCTATATCATAGCAAAATTTAAACTTTCTTAATGTAATCAAAGAAAATAACTGATATTAGGCTTGAAAGTGTACATGGTGAACAATGGCTACCAGATGACTAGAGCTATTGAGAGACACAAGCTTACAAATCAGACAGCATGTCTTGTTTTTTAAGAGGCTGACAAATCTTCACTTTATTTATTTTATCATCGCACGGTCACCCGTAAGTTTTAAGCACACTCTTCAGGATTCAGTCCTCTGTGTGTGCTCCAAGCACGCAAGTACATCAAAAAACACTGGTTCACACTTACTGTACAAAGCCAGTAATACTGAATTTTTCTAATGACCTCTCAATAGCTAGGTAGAACATAGCTATAGCTGCTTTTTTTCTAGCTATTGCTTTGATACAAGTGATTATATATTCTTGTTGAAACAATTTTTCTGGTGCAGCTCTCTAAGGCAACTGCTGTTCTCAATAATCCTCTAAAAGAGTTTTGCAACTCCAATTAAAACACTCCAGATCAGTAAAGTATATAAATATACACCAAACTCTGAAAGTGTAGTCCTAGGGACTTAACAAACTTTTGGAGCTAGAACAAAAATAGATGGAAAAGGGGGACGATTTAGGTGATTTTGTAGAATAGTGAGCAAGCTCTATGCACTGACTGGCCGAAAAATATGCTTAAAAATAAAGGCCTCCACTGACAGCAATAAACAATTATCTAAAATTTCATTTCTGACGTGTCTGACTGGCTGGAGCAAGCGGAAGATATGACAAGTAAGACTAATGACAGTTCAGCTTCCCAAGAATTCTTTGAATTGTGTTTAGGAATCCTTTTTTTCATTTTCAAGTGGCCTTCTGAATATGAACAAACGCCCTGGAATTCTTAAATGGTAATATTTGTTGGGTAGCCACTAAACATTTTTTTTGTATAGCTTCTTTTTACACAATGTGACACAAAACATTATGTGATAGCCTACTGTTATTGTCTGCTTAAACTTCACTGAACAAAAGGAAGTCAGGCAAAAACGCCCGGAGGCCTGCATGGATGAACAAGGAGCTCCTGGACAAACTCAAACACAAAGAGGAAGCCTACAGAGGGTGGAAGCAAGGACAGGTAGCCTGGGAGGAATACAGAGAAATTGTCCGAGCAGCCAGGGATCAGGTTAGGAAAGCTAAAGACCTGATAGAATTAAATCTGGCCAGGGACATCAAGGGCAACAAGAAAAGATTCTATAGGTATGTCAGGGATAAAAGGAAGATAAGGGAAAATCTCTCCAGAACAAAACGGGAGACCTGGTTGCCTGGGACATGGAGAAGGCGGAGGTACTCAATGACTTTCTTGCCTCGGTCTTCACCGGCAAGTGCTCGAGCCTCACCGCCCAAGCCGCAGAAGGCAAGGGCGGGGACTGGGAGAATGAA